ATTGCCCTGACAGACTGCCAACCTGCTAATAAAACTACTTGTTAAGATTTAAGATTCTAACTAATCTGAGTTAATAATTCAAATTTTAGATGTCTAAGTAGCCATCTTTTTGTTTGCTTCTTCCTTTCCTTTGCTGTGTGTTTTACTAATTCTAGTTTGATTTTCCTTCAAGAATTATGCATAAATGATGAAATAATCATTTGCCACAAATCAATCAAGTAATAGGAAGGGCACTGGAAGTGTTTAGTTTAAGAACAGAATTTTAGAACAAATAATCATTTTAATCATAAACAGTAACACTGAATTTCAATAAATGTTACTGTGATCTGTTCAGTAATAGCCATACAATCATTGAACTTATATTATTTCAATTGTCTACGAACTGATTTAAGTTTTCTAATCTGGGATATTTGTTTAATGAGATGTAAATTAGACATAAAAGGATTTCATTTTAATCTATTCCAGCATTCTGCATATTTTAGTATAACTAGAACCAAAATAAAACTCTACAGCCATTACAAAACCATCAGTTTCATAGGTACCAGAGAGTGACCTTCAACCTATTTGTTCATTCTTGATTCTAGCTGCCAGACTGATCCTCAATGTAAATTTGAAGCAGTTTAAGATGAAAAAGAAAAACAGAATTTGAATTCAATAAAGGGTCAAAAGAATTCCACTGCCTGTCTCTCCCATCTACAGATGCCTGCATACCAAATCTGCTCTAATCACCTGTCCTGATATGTGCACATAGACAAGTCCACAAAGTAAATGGATCATAGCAATAGCATTTAGACTTATAGGCTGCTTCATAGTGCTTTACAGCCCTCTGTAAGTGGTTTACAGAGTCAGCATATCATGCTATGTTCTCAGGCTATCCAGTAAGAAAAGGGAAAAAAAAATGTAGATATTAGGGCAAAGTGGGGAACACTTCCATTTGGATGAGCACTGAAGCCAAAAGCTCTATGTGCATGTCCAGGTGCAGCCAGCTAGACACAGCTTTTGAAGCACTGAGCTTTTCAAAGGAGATAGTGCTTTGAGGCTGCTTCACCCATGCTAAGATGCTTTGCGAAGCCTCTCTTTCTAAAGTGGTGAGGAAATGCAGTCTATGTCACAATTTCAAACAGCTGAATCAATCCAAAACAGATGGAAGGAATTGTTTATCTCTTAAAACTTCTGAGAAAAAGTTGAGGTACAGTGGCTGATTTAAGAAAGCTGCTGAGGACATCAGAAACTTTTGCAAACTTGGAATTTTTGCCAGATTTGGAAAGGCCAGCCTCAAAGACAGAGCTACTGAGCTATGACTTGATCCAATCTCAGCTCTTTAAAATATCTGCTTTGCCTGAAACAATTCTAAACTGAAGTCTATGAAATTTCCTGGCTTTCTGTAAATGTGATCAATCAGGACTTACTATCAAGATCTAATCTACACTTGATCTAACTCATATATTCTCTTATTCTTTATTATTTTAGGGAGGTGGGGCTTACTAGGAGCCATTTATTTGTAGAATATACAAGGATCATAATTAAAAGGTGTATGTTTATGCTTTAATGGTCATGATAATCTGGAAAATTGAAAACAATCACCCCTCCTATGGATTATTCTAGGTTGCTATCTGATACATATTTAGTATCAGCAGTAAAGGTATAATCAATGAAATATGCATTGAACAACACCCTTATTCTCATTTGAAATTATTACATTTTTTTTTCAAATCATAAGGATAAGGAATTTTTTGAAAACATAATAAAAACCCACAGAGTGCTCCTGCCTAAATCAACTGTTTTAGCATATCATCAAACATCAAATTCTTGTGAATTTGCAGACATCAGTAAGGCACCAACAGTGTATTCAAAGAGACTGAAAATGTTCTGCATGCCACCTATTTTTTTCAGTCTATGTGGTTCTGCTTTGATTCATCATACATTCTACCTTTTACAGACTTTCTGTAGCAAAAAGAGATTTTATATAAATGCCAGGTGAGCAAAACCTCTACAAATGGCCACCATGGTGGAGATGCTGATGCAAGTGTTAGAAATGGGTGCTAATTAAGGTCTGATAACCTTGAATAAGGAACCAAATATTTGTACTATAGTTAGATACTCTGATCTCAGCCATGTAGAGGAAATAAATCTTAGGCATGGAAGCCAGAAAGTACAAAGGATTCCAAATCATCCCAGCTATAATAGGATGCCCTTGGGCTTATTCGGTTGTCCACAGGGTATAATCATGAACCAAGTACCTATCTGGGCCCTTTGATTTTCAGCCCTACATTCAGAGCTACATCCAAATCCCAGCTTGAATAACCTTAAAGCATTTTAATCATATGACATAAAATATCCATCCTGAAATCTGAGACACAACCTTTAGATAAATTTATTTACTCTTCTTAAATGAGACGCGTCTGCCTTTATTTCTAAATGATACTACTAGTTCTTTCTCAATGACTTTATGAATTAGGAACTGAGAAATATTTATTTTTGAACTAATCCCACAGATTGGCAGAAAAAATATTGTTATTTTAAGTCAACAAAATAATTGTTGGTAATCTTACATTTTACTTACATTCAAAATTCAAGAAATTTGTTACCTTCTAGCGTTCCCATCAGCAGAATGGACAATGAAGACTGCTTAACTAAACAATCTTACCAGACACAATTCAATCAAATATCTTTTTCTAAATAGATTGCAGAAAGTGATAAAAGGCACTGGGTATTTAGTTAACTATAGAACGCTTTGATGACTTTTGGTTACTATTAAATGTGTCAGTTGGTCAAATTTTTAGATTTCTATGAAGGATGCATAGCTGAGAGCAGAAAGCACTTTTTAATATTTTTATTCTTAGTGGATGCTTCGAGATCTAGACAGACCATATTGTTCCTCTGAGATGAGGGCTGTACAAACTTTTTTTTTTGCTTTTGGCACAGCAGTTTCAGAAACTAATGAACAATACCTTAAACAGGTACAGTTTGAGTAAGAAACATACTTTGAATCCAGACTATACCCTCTATGAACAGAATGGTTTCTTTAATGTATGTAAGTGACCAACAATCTAGTAAGAGTTCTTATGAGAAGAAGAGGAAAAAGCTTGCCTTCAGATCTCCCAATATCATGGATTCCCTGCATCTCCTACATTGTTCCTCAATTTTTTTTTTTTTTAAAAAAACTTTTCAGGATAGACAATGTACTCCAAACAAAAAGTTAGAAAAAAATGTCCATGATCTGGTATCTGCTTACAGGACTTTTGGATGCAAGCTATTTCCCCCCCCCCCCCCCAGGAATTATAATTCCTGAAGCAGATACAGACATCACAACTCTGTACTCAATTTTCTCCATTTTCACATATATGATTTTCCTAGTTATAGATTTCTTGTTCCCTTGAATGTCAATGAGATCATGAAATATTAGTGTCAAGACCTGCGAAAAACCTAGCTGACGCCATCTTTGTCATTCGTTCTCAGTTGCCGCATAAAGGGGGGGGGGAGATCAGGTTACTTTTACTTTTGTTAGATTAAACATAGAATGATCCTGTGGGAACCAAAGTCATTCTCTCCAGACTCTGAAGGGAGTCTATTATGCTACTATTAGTTTCGGCTGAAATTCACATTTCTGGCTGCTGTATAAAATAACAGTCAAAACTGCAGACAGCACTATCATTGGCTTATATTTAGTGTGACAAAACTTGACTATTCCAGCCATGTCCAGCAAAAATCTCATGCTTCCACTCCATCTTTGATCCTAAACACACACATGCTAAAAATAAGAAAAATAAAATAAAATCTGCCCCTAAATATTAGAGGAAACTGGAGAACTCTAATAGAAAATGTAATTTGAATGTTAATAGTAATGCCTAGAACCAGATAAGATATTAACTGTGATGAACTATAAGTCTTTGTTAATGAATGATCTAAATTTCAATTTTATTTTACTTTCCTCTATGTTCAGGAATGTGTACATACACAATTAACAGCAGGCAACCTTTTGCAAGCATCATAACCTTCCATAATATACACATTTTTAAGAATGTTTAAAAAATTGTAGACTAAATTGGGCAATACGAAAAAGTACATATTTGAGAGTAAGTGCACTCTACTTCACACACAGATCTCAGGAGTACAAGCTAAGGAGCTATTAGTAAGAATCAGAACTGAATGAATTGTTATTATATCTTCTTTTTGAGCTTTTTACCTCAGATTCCTTTGAATTGAACTTACTGCTTAAACCAATCTATGCGGAGGACTAGCAGCCAATCAGACACTTTTATATGAAAATATTCTTCTTTTTTAACCAGAGGTTTGACTGTGATCACAGACATCATTTTCAGCTTAATTTAACTAAGTCAGAGATGAAAGATGAATCACATTTAATGGAAAATACTTGAATGATGTCATGTAATAAAATAATACAACCCCCCCATTTTCATTTTTTTTTGTTTTGATTGAAACATTATTTCTAGATTCAATGCATGTTATAATAATGAAAAACCAATGTTTTTATTCAGAATTAGAAGGAGTCCTGAAAAACACCTTTCTTCAGCTTTGCATCAAAGAATGTGGTGTGTTTCCAAGGTAAAGGTAAAATGTTTCCCCTGTTGAGTTGTAGGGGCAGTGCTCATCTTCATTTCTTAGCTGAGGGAGCTAGTGTTGTTTGAAGACACTTTTGTGGCCATGTGGCCAGCATGACTATATGCCAAGGGACACAGAATGCTATTATCTTCCCACTGAAGTGGTACGTATTTATCTACTTGCATTTGCATGCTTTTGAACTGCTAGGTGGGCAGGAACTGGGGCAAGTAGCAGGAGCTTACCCTGTCACATGGCACTCAGGTGTCAAACTGGGCTTTCCAGCCGACAAGCTCAGTATCTTTAACCATCTTCATCATTTAGTAATTTAGTAATTTTACCATTTTATAAGTCTATGAAACAAAATGGCTAAAATGCATAAAAAGCATTTTAAACAACATTGTTCTTGTGAGTTTTTCAAAAATTGCAACAATACATACCTCCCAATCCTGGTCTTAGACGGTTATCATAACCATCAAGTAAACGATCCAGAATTCGGGTGAATATAGTTGTGTTGTCCTTTATTTCATCTTGTAAGGAAGTTTGTCCATAGCTGAAAACAAAACCACCATGTTATATACTGATCAATGCCCAAAATAAAGATACTCATGCTATTAACTTAAGTAATTAATCCACCAACAAACTTGTTCAATTATAATTCTGAAACTCACTTGATCTTTCTTCTACTGATTAATAGATATGGAAGCTTTTCCATCAACCTGGATTATGGGAGTATTATATAGTTCCTTCTCCTTTCACTTTTGAAATATTCATATTCTTTCAAAACCTTATGTCAATCCTAGATAATAAATTACACTGGGGGTTTTATTGTTCAGCCCATCTTTTATGTATTTCTGATTTATAAATGAGTGCTTTGCAAATATATCAGAGCATCCTCCCATTATCTACCCAATCCTAAAATAATTTAGTATCCTTGCCTACAAGAAAAATACACTGAACATTAAGTGCACTAATAGATCTATATAATGCAATTTTGTTTATATACTGGTAAAGTCCACAGTCCCTATTGTGGGGGAAAAATCAATTATTTTATTATGTTTGTTAAAATGCACTTCCTTTTTAATCTAAATATTTTGGACTATTTTGATACTTGAATTGGTTTAGGAAAGCAAAACTAATTCATTTCCTGGTGAATAGAAAATTCCATTTTATGGTGACAGGGATATTTCCCCCATTCTTTCCAGATTTTATAACAATAGCCCTTTTTCAATAGCAAATAATTTCCAGACATTTGTAATAGCCATGAGCTACGTTTTGATCTCATCCTCAGGTCTCTATTGTTCTTGTTATTAAGACTGTCCTATATTTTCTTTTCTACAGTAAATTACACTGCTTTCTACTAATTATCTATCACAGTTGTTTCAGAGCCAATCCTGGAGTCCTTCCTCTGCCCTTTAGCCAGGGAAGATCCCATTAGTAAAATGTGATGTTTGCCAATGTAAACTCAGCAGGACTTAGCCCTTGGACATCCAATTGCTTCCTTCTTCATCATTTTGTCACATACCTTATTACTGAATCAGCCTTCCTTGAATATCTGATGTGATCTGATTAACAAACATAGTTTGGTGAAAAATCTCTTCCAGGCTATGGAGTTTCATAAATGTTAATCCAGGAAACATCACTTTTAAGCAATGAATTATGCAATCTTAAAAAATAAGCTTCCCTAAATAAGTCTGTGTGCTGTGTCTAACCAGTAGTCATAATAGAAAAAAAGCAACTTTTATAATAAATATACATACAGTACATGTTGTGCGTGCTATAAATTTGAACGTGAATCCCCAGATTAGAAAAGCAAATTTTATTCGTATTTTGTTCATATTTTTATAATAATTTACATGCCTTTAGCCTAATCTATCATTAGCAATAACATTTAATTGATTGTTTATTAATAATACCTCATCTCTAGGGGACTATATGTTACATTTCTGTTTTAAGTGTAAGTTGGTAAGCCAATGGATATTTCTTCTTTTGATAGTAGAGAACATTCTATATTTATTTTAAATTTAAATTTAGAACCAGAATGAGCTATCTTATACTATTTGGTTAAAAAGAAACAAGTGCCTTCATACATTCAAGATGGAATCCACTTCCATGTTGCATCATCTGTCAACCACTTATTTTTAGCGGGTGAGTGGGTAGATAGCAATTGAAAGTTATTTTCACTTCCGAAAACTAACCATAAGTGTGTCATAAATAGCTAAGACTGGCAGAAAATACCAAGCTTGCAATTCCCTGTATTTTATTTTTCTTTTCTTTTCCTAAGCGCACAAAAAATTCCAAGAGAGCAATTAAAAAGAACAAAAAGAGGATAAAATTGCAGACATTATAAAATTAGTTTTAAAGGTTCAGAATGGCATTAATATAAACTTACATTTATTAAAATATCATCCCAGTTTGAGATCCTCTGATAATACCAAAGTCAGTATTGAAATCAGATTGTTATAATTATCAACTGTACAACCATTTTGCAAGACAAAATATTCTCTTGTATATTCACACAGACATTCAGTCAAATAAAGTGCAGTCAAACTCTTGCTGAAATGTAATGAAATCCTACTCTTTTTGTAATGCTTGAAATGGAATCATTTCTAATTTTCTAGGTATCAAATTTTAGTACAGGTTTGCACTATCTAAATGCAAGCTCGGGTGTCTTCTGAGACTACCATTATTTTTAATACCAACACAATTGATTGAAAATCAGCCTGATCCTTAGGGGTCAAATTGAATTTAAGCTGGGTTAACCATGGATACCACTCCAAAAACCACACATTTCATGGAAGTTCCCTGAACTGTGAAGGCCTTCAACAGCATTGAATTCAGTGGCAAGCTTATATTTTTACCTACATATACAGTACATATTGAAAAGACAAGTGTGAATCTGATATACCAGTAATAAAATAGAGATGTGATTAATTTAGGAATGGGATTTTAACTATATCAGAATTATCAGATTCCAGATAAATAAATGAGCTACTATTAATTTCTAAAAAAAAATATACAACTATATTCATATATCCATTTAATTTACAATAAAGTGCTCATGGTCAAATATTTATGTGTTTATGTGAGCATTCGCATGTTTTGCTAGTATTTAGTACCTTAACATTAATATCCTGATCCAAATAATAATAATACAATATGAAATATTGTCCAGATTTTTAACTTTTACTTAGCTTTGAGGAAGGAAGGAAGGAAGGAAGGAAGGAAGGGAGGGAGGGAGGGAGGGAGGGAGGGAGGGAGGAAGGAAGGAAGGAAGGAAGGAAGGAAGGAAGGAAGGAAGGAAGGAAGGAAGGAAGGAAGGAAGGAAGGAAGGGTGGTTGGGTCTTCTAGATACTTTGAACAAACCTGGTGGCCATTTCATTCCTTGCAATTTTTTTCCCTTGTTATTGATTTGTTAGTGGTTAGAAATCACCCGCAAGTAAAGATTGGACAAATGTGTTATCTTTTTTAATGTAGAATTTAAGCAACTTGAAGAAAAATGTCATTTACCATGTTTGTGTTTCACAGTAAAAAAAAAAAAAGTATAATAAAATACTGTACACTGACTCCATCTACAGGTCATTATAATAGTAACACCTCATACAATTTTTCAAAAGCCAGGGAAATGCTTCTTGATTTTCTGGTCCAAATCTTAGTTCTGGTGAAACATGCAAGCCAGCATGTGGCATAGAAAAAATGATAAAGAAACAGACTTTCTGTTTTCTCTTCTCTTCAGGAGATCAGGTTTTTCTTCTTTCATCACTGATCTGCTATATAAAGTATCACATTCGTATATCTCTTTATGTTCTTTTCTTTTAGAAAACATGTAAAACTAAATTGGATTGTCTCTGACACTCAGATTCTTTTTACAAATATATATTAGTTATAATGAGGTTAATTTAAATTACTCTCCTGAACGACGGATATGGAATACGGCAATTACCAGTGCGCAAATATTGATATTTGTAATTTAAAGGAAAATATGTATTTTTCATTCGTTAGTTCTATTGCTAATAGAAATGCAGTCTAGATAGATTTCAGCATAAGAAGACTTTCCATTTACCATTCAGGCAGGGTTCAGGCAGGTGAAGTGAATTTCATTTAACTAATGTTAGTGACAGTCTTACCAATGAACTTATTGCTTGTAGGCTGCATCCTTATCATGCAAACTCTCTGCTGAAATGAAATGCTCAATTCATAGGTATAATAACCAGACCTTATTGTTATAATCTTTATCTCTCCTGAAGTCTACTTTCATGAGGAAAAGAGTCTGTCAGCCTGGTCTCATTCCTTCAGTGAAAGCACAAGATCATAGGAGCAGAAAAATTCCTATGTAAAATGCTATATGCAGCATAACTACCGGCAAACTTTATCTGCAAAGAGGACTTATTCCCTTTATAGCTACATTGAAATCATTAATCTGTTTGCAGTTTGGATCAAATAATCCTTGCTAAACTCTTTCTCAACAATTCCACCTAAGATGTTTTGCAGTCAAGCTTTGGTTTTATTTTAATTTCCTCCTATTTTGGTTTAGGTGAGATTTAGGCAGAATCAACCTGCCCCCAAAACAGTATGCATGAATCAACCCTTTTTCCATATGATAAAAGACAACCCAAAATTATTTTTAAAAAGTAAAACTCTTTTTCCCACCTTTTTCCAGGTAAGGTGCTCATAAGAAGAACCCAGGCCCAAAAGCGGTCATAAAGAAGATGCATCATTTTGCTAGTAGATTATGGAAGCTGAAAAAAAATAGAAAACCAGAAGTAAGCATTCTTTGCTTCGACAAATTGTTTAAAAATACAACAGGTTTAAAAGGACTTGTGATAGTTTTCCTTAAAAGCAAGGAGTTATCTCACAGTGGGATGACTTTCAGAGGAAAAGCCTCTTCCAGGTATACTTATGTATTTCATTTTCTTGAAAGTGGAGTCATCTCTGAGTTAGTTTCATAGACAAAGGTTAAATCATTTTATTTATTTATTTTCAAGAGTCTTGGAATTCAAGTGTCTTTATTATATTTTCCTTCCTTAAAAAAAGGATTACTGTTAAATTCACAATTTGTACATCCATTTCACAATAACACGGAACTTAGAACCTATTTTAGCTTTAATGAGTCAGATCCCACCAGCTTGATTATCTCAGGAAAAAGAGAGGAAAGAGCTTCTCCTAAAGTCCTTGAAAGCTCTAGAAGGTCCTGAAAAAGGACAGAACTTTCTTCTGGAGAGAGATCCAAGCATATGCCCATTTAGGAAGCTAGTTGAACAACAGCATACATTTCAAAAGCTGAACAAGGTACATAATTTCAATGCTTTCTTAATCCCATTAATCCCCAAAGCATATGAAATGAATATGAAATAATGAGGAAGATTGTTGCATCCACATTGCCTTCAAACCTTTTCCTTCCTTCCTTCCTTCCTTCCTTCCTTCCTTCCTTCCTTCCTTCCTTCCTTCCTTCCTTCCTTCCTTCCTGCCTGCCTGCCTGCCTGCCTGCCTGCCTGCCTGCCTGCCTGCCTTCTAGAATATCCTGTTGCAAAATATTCCATATAGTACCTTTTCACTCTATGACTGAGTCCAGTTCAGTTCCAGTTAAGATGTTTTCTAAAAGCAAACCTGCCCTGTTTCCCATCACCACTCCTTGCAAACTTAACTGGTAATTTTGCAAGGCAGCCTGACTTTTGTAATTCTGTTTATAACTCAGGCTTAGCTGCTTGCTCCTTGCTCCCTACTTACTGCTGAAATCCACTTCGGTTGCACTGTTCCTACCAGATATGTTCCTCCTCCTCCTCCTCCTCCTCCTCCTCCTCCTCCTCCTCCTCCTCCTCCTCCTCCTCCTCCTCCTCCTCCTCCTCCTCCCTCCTTCCTCCAAACCTCCTTGACAGCCCTGAAACTGACTACAGTTTAGGAGAGAAGCAGAATTCCAGACAACATAACCACCATCGCACAAAGAGGCAGAGAAGAAGAAAAACGAACAGGATGGTCCTTGTATATAAAATGTCCGAAACCTACAGCGAAAGGCAGGGCAAGGTGAACAAAATGATGACAGGTGTCCAGGTGGAGTGTAATGGATGGAGGTGCACAATGCTGCTTCTCCTGGAAAAAAGAGAAGAAGAGTGTTGCATCTCTAGGAGAGATGAGAAAAGCTCCCACTTCTTTTCAGCCTGAACTTTTGCACTGAACCTCCTCTAGCAAGTCATTTCAGAGATACCGGCAGATGGCAAGATGCTTTTTTTTTTTTTTCTTACTCTACATTTCTCCCATACCGCCATCCTTAAAATAATTAATGGGGATGGGGGGGAGTAAGATACATTGCTATATTGCTTGTAGATGAGGGGAGGAAAGTGGGAAATCGCCAAGTGCGAAAATTTAAGCTACAAACAAACAAGTCGACTAACAAATCAATCCGCTTCTGATCCTTTCCCTGCCGCTGCATTCTGACCACCCTGATTTCGGAATAGTTGAAATAAAAGAGCAAAAGGGAAACCCCAGCCTATCTCTTCCCCACTATGGGCACATCCGTTCAAACCTGGAGCCATCATTCAAGAGGCATTTCTGCCTTAAGTGATTTTTGCCTGCTTCAGAGCCAGAGATGGAGACTTGGTGGAAAAGGGGACGGGGGGGGGGAGATGGTGGTATTTATGGATTTGCAGCCAGCATAGCAACTTTCTTCTCCTCTCCCGGAAAAAGTCATCCGTTGCCCCCCAATCCATTCAACTCTGATTGGAAACGTCGGAAATAATCCCTGTTAATCCCAGGGTCCCCGGGGTTTTAGCCTTCTCTCCCCCCCCCGCCCATCAACCCACTCCCCTTCCCCTCGATTCTGATCAATTACCCATCCACCGCTGCGGATTTTCACCCGGGGTCGGGGGGATGGGGGAATGTAAGGTGGAGAAAGCTGGGTCCAGCATTCCAACGAGGTACCTGCTAGGGAAGAAGGCAGCAGCAGGAGCCCCCTCCGTCCATAAATGCTCCGCCTGTGAAAAAGGGAGCGGGCTGGCGAAGGGGAAGGGGAAGAGAGGGGAGCCTGGGAAAAAAGGAGGCTAGAGCGATACTCACCTCGCGACCCTCTGGGCACGGCGTCGCCGATGCAGCGGGAAAGTCTGCCCGAGAGGCTTCGCCAAGAAGCCAGGGCGGCGAGGAGGGAAAAGGGCGCTTTAGAGCACTGAGTCTCCGCGGCTCTTCTCAGTCATTCAGGAGCTCTTAGCCATCATGGACTCTGCCGCCGTCGCCGCCGCCGCCGCCGCTGCCGCTTTGCTCTTCGATTTTTAACACCCAGATTCCCTTTCCGTGGGATTTGGCTCGCAGCTCTACAACACAAAGCTTTGCACTTTACCAAGACAGTAGTAGTACGTCCAGGGGTAAACCGGATGTGAAATAGGCTGTGACTTCATGCCAGGGAGATTTTATTTTAGAAAGGAAGGTGGTACCAAGCTCTCATCTAGAGACCAATCCGCCCATATATATTTTTTTCCTCCAAATATGCAGCACAATTTAACTTCAGCGCTTCTCGCCCTGATCTCTTTCTCTCTCTGGCTGCACGCTCAAAGCCTTTCTACACTCTGCATCACGTTGGCTGTTGCTGTTGTGGTGCTTACTGTGGCAGAAAGGAAGGGAAATATTTTGGAGACCAGATGGAGGAGAGAGACTACATTTACAATCTTCAGAGAGTTGCGACCGAAAACTGGTGCTGAATAATGATAACCGTCACTAACCACCACCCTCACCACTCATCCGCCCCATTCTGCCTCCCTTCTTATTCAGTCTTTGAATAAATATTCTCCCAGTTTTATAAATATACAGGGTACCTAGAAGAAATTAAAGATCTCTCTCTCTCTCCCTCTCCCCCCCTCCCTCCCTCCCTCCCTCCCTCCATCTCTCTCTCTCTCTCTCTCTCTCTCTCTCTCTCTCTCTCTCTCTCTCTCTCTCTCTCTCTCTCTCTCCATGCACCCATTCTGTATGTTTTGTGATTTCATTGGAAAAGTCTTGTGCAGCCAGAGAGGCACTGTGTGGTTGACTGAGGCTTCAAGAAAGATCTGTTCAAGTCAGAAAATGCTTATGCCACTCTACATCTTAGGTTACTCTTAATTGGCAGGTAACATTTGTCTAAAGTGATCTTTATAATATTGTGGAGAAAGGCAAGCTCTATTGGGAAGGGGCATATTTTGACAAGGATGTGTGTGTGCCAGTTCTGTTTCTGAATGAGCAGTTCGCTTACTTTGCCAAATGGTGCAGGAGAATAAGTAATAAAGGCAGAATTAAAAAAAACCACTACCTTTTAAAATCAGTTTGAATGAAAGTCCCTTACCAGCTAAGCATCCTTTTAATGCCCTTCATGTGCCCAGCACAAGAAGAAAATCAACTGGACAATAACAAACTATTAGGCCTTAAATGCTGGACTTTCTCTAAGTATACATATATCTTCCTATAGCTACAGTATATTGCCTTCCTCCTCCTCTTCCTTACCACTCATCTGTGGAATTCAGCTGCTCATTTTATGAATGGATACATTTCTAAAAGCAAAAAACAGCTGATTAACAATGGAGCTCTCCATGGTACTGGAAAGCCTAAAGGGAAGGAGGTACTCTTTTCAGGCTGTGCCTAACCCTAGTGAACAGAATGGGGGGAATGCTTTTTTGCACAGAATGCAAATCTCCCAAAAAGCTAATAATTAGGAATTCCTAAGAAAAATTGCTTTACTGGATATAGTGGTCTGTTATGAAATATGTGGGCATTGGAAAAGAGATGATAGAATTTTCCTGAGTTGAAAATAAAAATCATTGGCAATAATTCATGTGAATAAGAAAGCAATACACCAGGATAGATAAAGAGAATGAGAGAGTTAAAATGGGGGCTTTTTACTAAGGCTCTGGAAGATTTGGGGGAGTCATAGTCATTCCCCTTCATTCTTTCTCACCTTACTATGTGTCAATGTCATTTCCTCCCTCTCTGGAAAGAAAATTGCATCATTTTTAAACCAAACCTCCCATATTCTGCAAATATTCAGAACCTTTTCTGATGTTGAGATTTTGTAGTTCAATAATTTCTCAAAGCCATTATCAGGATTTATATCCGTATGAAAAAGTTGATGAAGATGTTAACCTCTTGGGTGGACTTTTTGTTAGCAATTTCCAAACTATCAGGGTATACCTAATCTTGGGAGGATGACAACAGCAGAAATATAGTGTCTTCTCTGAAGCATGAGATGAGAGTAGTAATAAAATATAGATGTATGGGTTTTTTCTTTATAAGCCAATCTTTAACACAGCCCATAAGTTAATTACACCTAAGGAAAAGAAGAACAAACCAACACTTCTTCCCTTGCAGTTGTTATAAACCTCTGCATGTCAGGCAATTGTTATAGAGGAAAGCCTACTCAATCTACAGAAGCTTTTTCCTGTAATTTAAAATGCTTGAATATTGGCATTCTAATAGAGGATGCCTTAATAAAAGAGGATATATTCCACAGATAGTTGCCTACTTGAGTAAAGGGCAAAAAGAGTTCATCAACTGAGTTCATCCCTGTATCTCCTCCTACCGGCTTGTGAAATTTATGCCACAAAAAAACAAAATAGACATATTGGGAAAGAACCCTGCCCTTCCAACAATATTAATACCGGAAACCCATGGAGCAATCTTATGCTCAAGTCAAAGCTCCAATACAGTGGCCATTAGGACTAGTCTAGTGGCTTGCCAGATGTAAACCAAGAGAACAGAAGTGACATTAAAGAAACCTCCTCTGGGTATTGGTTTGCCAGTTGTGTTTTTTCTGCCTATTGAAAGTCATGGGAGTAAATAACTTATATTCCTGCTGTTTGAAGAAGTGGCTTGTTAAATAAGACCATTTCTGACATTCAGTGCTGACCCAGTATATCCCAGGTAAGACATACTCTAAAGGCAAAAGCCTCTTCCAGTCCCAAGTACCATTTGCCTTTGATTTTGGTGGAAATTTACAAGTCGTCATGATTAAGAACCACTGATAGCTCTATACTCCATTAATTTATTTAGTTTCCTTTTGAAGCCATCTCAGTTGATAGCCATCATCAAATCTAATTCCACTGTTAAACACTATGTTATATAAAGAAGCAATTTATTTTATTATCTCTGAATCTCCCCTCAATTAGCTTTGATGAATGATTCAAATTCTAATATTGGGAGATAAAAACTTACCTTTGTCCACATTTTTCATACTACATGATTTTATATTATGCCTTTTCTTAACCTTCTAAGTGAAAAATCTGTTTCTTCATAAGGTAACATAAATTAAAAATCCCATGTTGGTCATGTTTGCTTTCTTCTGTATTTTTTTATAGGTGAACATTTTGAAGTGACCAGGAAAGTGCTCAGTATTTTAAAGGCAATCACAATATAGTTATTTAAGAGAAATTATTATAGTTTTATATTCAGTTCTTTTTGTAATCATTCAGTCTTGATCAAGATGGAAATTTGGGAGATTTTTGATGAAGGTCTTTTGAATAAGAGAAGGACAGATTTTTCACTAGCTGTTCCCCAATGTTTTGATCTCTACCCAGAGTGATATAGGTACTTTGATCTTTAGTGGCAGTAGATAAGCCAGGAGTCTTTTAAACACTCTCTTTATCTTTTTCATATTTTGTTATGTTATTTTGAATGCTAGATTGATTTTAAAAGAAACCCATAGAGCTAGTTTTCTAGTGAACATATTTTCATCCCTACAGAACTTTGTTTTGAATTAAAGTATTTATTGGTTTACTTATTTTATATAGCCATATGGACTGCAAACATATGCCGTTGCTTGAGATAAAATCCTCCTAAACTCAGTGGAACTTTTGAATGAAAAAAACAAATGATTACAAAAATGATTACAAGGTTGCTAGTTCTTTAAAAGGAAGTGTTCTTGTTATTGGGTATTATTAGATCTAATTCAGTACTGTACATGAGAACTAATGACATAATGACATTACTTGTCGTTAGTAAAATATATGCGCCTAAGAAGGCAGCTTATTTTAACTCTTTTTTAACATGTAACAATATGTGATCTTCTCCATTGAATGCCCTTGGAAATCTTAGAGTGCAATCCTAATGTATTAAAATCGCCTGCAATTATGTTATAGATTTAAACAGCACATGACTAATACACATAGTGAATGGCAAATTATAAGTGGCCTCTGTCAAGCAAACATGTAACCTCATTTCCTTTCTGTCCAGCCAAAATGCAATTTTCTAAAAAGGATTGTATCCCAGATTTAACTTATCCCACATAAATGCACACACATACACAGAGAGGTGGGGGGAGAGGGACAGAAGGAGAGAAAGAAAGATACACGTGTTTTAAAGGTAGTTTCATATGTCACCTTGACCTTAGGTTCAGATACATTTAAGAGATTTTGACTGAATAATACTTTAGAATGGATTCCATCATCCTATTTTCCAAATCACTGAGAAAGATTCAATTTCATTTCTTCCCTGAAATACAGTAAGCACGAGGAAAAGAAATATATAAAAGATAGTAGCATCCTGGGTGTGTTTCAATACACCCCACATATTTTCTAAATGTGAGCAATAGAATGTTGGTTTCCTAGACATTTTCTAGATTGCACAGAATGGAATGAGCATGTTTGAAATAAAACTGGATGTTGATTGTGCTTGAAGTGGAATGGTCAAATTGTACCCAAATTGATTAGTACTGGCCTTACTATTAGCATGAAAATCTTCACTGTGGGATGGCAGTGACTGAGGCTGGTAACCTAATCTGCCCTCCTCTATCTTACTAAAATAATTATATAAAAGTCTCAGTTGATCCAATCCATGATGGGCATAGGAGGTCAATATTTATAGACCCAACTACTGACAACTGTCAACTAGGAGTGGAGCAGTGGCTCAGGAGTTAAGACGCTACCTCGGTTTGAGACCCAAATGCTGTGCAATAGGCTGAATTGAAAAATCTAGGCAGATATAGGTTAAATTATGAATAAAATGGCTAAAATTTATGTCAGAAAATAGGAATTAGCATCATCTAGGTTGATTTTAGTATATATGATAATATGAATCTGTAGCTTTGAAATAATTCATGCTATTTGCCACTGAAGGGTAATAAAGAAAAAGCCACAGATACTTTTGGGGAACAAATGGGCCCTATTCTAACTAAAGGTAATCTTGGAAGGTCAGGGTCTAGGAAATAGTGATATGGATTTATGGGTGGCTGGGAGCATACATATGTGTGACAATAAAATGACAGAGTAAAGGAGAAAGTGATTGACCATTCAGAAACACAATAATGAAGCATATGGTGACCAGTGAAAAGGTTTGTTTTATGCATATAGTTTAAGCATGGATCTAGTCATGTGTACACATGTAGAAAGGAATGAATCAAAAAGCATGATTGATTTCACTGATTGTGATAAAAGAGAATTAATGGATAATACAAGAGCAAGAAGAGATTCCGAATGCGGGACAAACTATTATTTGATAATGTCAAGAAAAGGGAACAGAAGCCAGTTGGAAATGAAACCAATTAGAGTGAAAAAAGAGTCTGCAAAAAGAGAAAAATATGAGTCCTCTATTAAAACATATTACAAGGTAGTTTCAATAGAATAAATGAAATATGATGCTATCTAGATTATTGTGGGTCCACATGAAAGTAAGAGTCAGATAGTATAGTTACAAGA